ATTGTTAATGATGGCCCCTTTCACTTTCCAAAATATCTGGTTTTGGATATTAAATTTTATGATTACTATTTACTTCTGCCCCAAAACTATACCAAGGTAGGTGGTGAATAATAGGCTAGCAGGAGGAAATGCTGAGGTATTAAATATGTTCCTGATGTTGAGGGTGGAGGGGAGATTTTATTTTCCCCCTTCATGCCTGAAAATAATTCCTAGTTTATATGAAAATATTCACACCACATGAGCTACTGTGGCAAGGTAGCCTACCATATTCTATTTTTTTTTATTACAGATAGCACTTACTTTCAACAATTTAATAAAACTGACTGAGAACCTACTATATGTTAGGTCTTATTACAGGATCCTGGGACAGAATAGTAAATAAAATAGATACAGATCCCTGCCTGTATCAAGTTTACTTCCTAAGGGAGAGGCAGGCAATAAACAGGATAAATTAACAAGTAGAAATTATGTATATAATATACATGTGTGAGTATATTATATATATATATCACATATGTGTGTGTATGTGCACTAAGGAGAAAAATAAGACAAGGCATTAAACTTGAAGAGTCAGGTAGGTAGTAAGGAAGTCTGCAGTTTTAGATGGGGTGGTCAAGGATGGCCCCAATGAAAAAACAGGAAAGAGTTGAGGGAGCAAGTGAGCCATGGAGTTGTCTAGGGAGAACGAATTCCACGTAGAGGGTACAGCAAGTGAGGCTCTCAGGTTAGGAATGTATCTAGGGAGGAGGAAAATAGGGATTGAGGGTAAAGATAACATGGGATTTATAAGTCATTGCAAGGGCTTTGTCTTTCACTCTGAGTGAAATGAAGTCCCTGGAAGCTGCAAGTGACATGATCTAACATAACAGTTTTAACATGCTTATTCTGAATGCTATGTTAAGAATTCACTGAAGATAGAGGCTGCAGCCCAGCCAGGGATTCAAATTGCAGTAAATCCCTAAACAGATAAGTTGTTAAATAGCATTAACAGTGTAGGTGAGAGAAATAATCAAATCTTGGATATATTTGGAGTGTGATGAATATATTATAAGGTTATTTTAAAACAAAACTTTACAGGGCGGTGCCTGTGGCTCAAGGAGTAGGGCACTGGCCCCCCATATGCTGGAGGTGGTGGGTTCAAACCCAGCCCCGGCCAAAAACCACAACCCCCCCCCAAAACAAACAAACGCTAGACTTTACATAGTATCTTAATACGTAAAATGACTAAAATACTTTACAGACAAGGATTTCTAGTAAAATCTTGTCGTTGAACATATAGTGTTTTAGGGACAGTGAAATCAGTCTATCTAGATTAATGTTTTTATGTTGGGATTTGAACTACTCTTAAAGGACTAGTTTTTTCATCTTAATAACATGAAATCCAAATTGTGCCATGGGAATAGTCACACCCAAACTTAGGTAGTCAAGATAGGCTTTCCAGATAGAGTGGTTCTAACTTTTCACCAGACTGAAGTGCAAAAACTTGAGGGGGGAGTTGGAAGGGAGGGAGTAAAAGTGTTTCAAGTAAAGTGAGCAAAATGCAAAGTTTTAGGAATAAACATAGCCTAGAAATTAAGAGTTAGGCTTCCTGGCCTTGGATTAGTTTTTATGAAGTCAGAATATATTTCTACTTAATGTCAACAAACTTATAATCATTAGGTCACGGTGAAATGGGAGTAATGAAGACTGTCATCAGCAATTCTGGTAAGAAAAGTATCAGAGTCAGGCAGATCCTGTCAGAAATGCCTATCAAATTGATTGATTAAATACTAACATCTATGCAATATTGTACTAGCTATGCAAAGATTGAAAAACTACTGTATTCTGCCATATGTTAATGTGCTCTTATGTATAAAAGACCCCTGTTTTGGGTCCAAACTTTCAGGAAAAAAAAATTTTAATTTTTTAATTCAAATTTTTATGTGTTTACATTTAGATACTTCTTTGTATTTTACAGGAATTTTAGCATTTACTTATACTATGGTACAAGTTACAGTTTCAATGCATAATCGTGAAGTAATTAACATTTAAATAGATACAGAAGTATTACTATCCCTTGTATCATGCACACCCTTATTTTTCCTTCAGACATTTGGAGAAAAAAGTATTCATTATACATGGCAAAATACAGTACGTGATCCAATCCAAAAAGCACTACTATAGTGTTTCTTTTCATCTAAGCAGGTGCTAGAATTTAGAATACAGACCACAGTGACTACACCTGTATGGGTGTCTTTCACTAAACATTAAAATTGTCAAATGAATGGGTGGCGCCTGTGGTTCAAAGGAGTAGGACACTGGCCCCATATACTGGAGGTGGTGGGTTCAAACCCAGCCTGGCCAAAAAAATTGTCAAATGAATTAACACTGCACCATTCTTTGAAATAGTTTCCTTTTAGCACAATAGCTGAAAGATCAGCAGGATCGAGTAGGGTCTGATCCAGGATCTTTTATTGACAGTCTAGGATGGGATAATCATTTGACCTCTCTGAGCTTAAGTAGCCTTGCCTATACATGCAGTCATTGGCTATAAAATAAAGGTGTTGAAATGAGTCCTAAGATCCCCTAAACAAATTTACCTTTTATCTCTAGAACAGTACCTATCTTATATGAAGTGTTAATTTTCACAGCACACTATTCTGCGAGGTCTTCTAAAAAGTTTAATGTCATTTTAGTTTCACAACCATTTTAAGAAAGGTCCCACTGTGTGGTCAAGAGAAATTATGAGTGGCACAGAAGTTCACAATTTGCTGGAAGACACCAAGAAGAGTGTCCAGCCAGGAGTCTCACCAGGCCATCAGTCACCAAAAGGCAAATGCTTTTCAAGGCACTGGGACCTGGAGGTCACTGTGCATTTCCAAGAGGAATCAGAGGAACCTACAAGACAAAATGGTTACCAGTTTTCTCAGGAAAGCTTGCAGATTCTGGGATAAGCAGAGGGAGTAAGACTACAGAGCAGGTAAGACTGTAGAGCAGCTAAGATGCATGCACTAGAGGATAGGCCAGCTAGGTCAGCCAGGCCCACAGCTACTTCAGGAGCCCTGCCCAGCCAAAGCTATGCGCAGGAGCTGTCTTCCAGCCTCAGTATGGCTGTGTGTGTAGGGTTTCCTTAGGAAAGAACTGGGTTTTCTTTCCTCAGTGGCAATTTCAAGCCTTCAGGCCTGCCATTCTCTCCCCAGCTGAACAGGCTTCAGGGTGCCAGAAGTTAAAGCTTAATTTTCCCAAAGAGCTGAAGCTACAAATCTAGATGCACATGATGAAGACTTCCTTAGGGCTCAGGAGTTTGAGCTTCCTACAACTTCTGCAATTACAAACAATGAAGCTGCCCCAGGTCCAATTTGATTCTAGAACCAAGTGAGAATGGTTTGGGATCCATCTAATTTCTCTAAAGGATGAGGGGGATGGACCATTTTATACAAGCTCTTGGCTCCTCAAGTATCTTCAGCTTTTAACAGTGCTTTGTAAAAAAATGTTCAAGGATCGATATAGAAGGCACAGGGTATTCTAACTTCATCACATCTTTAAACAAGGAAAAAAACCCCAAGTTTTGGGGTTTAGAAGAATTCATTAAAATTTTTACAGACATTCCATGCAGAAATCTGTTGCTTTTTATGTGGAAACAAACAAACAAACAAAAAAACAAACAAAACAAAACAAAACTGATTCACAGCCAGAGAAATCTGACCAACAAATTTCTTCTTAACCTATATTACTCTATTTTAATAATTACTGTGTTCATAATGACACTGTCAAAATATTAAAACATTATCAAAGCAAGTCATGGACTCTGCAGGTAGTCATAACATCTGCTTTCTCAGATTGGGGCCATTTGGACACACCAATGAGCCCAAAGTGCACATCTTTGGGATTTGGGAAATAATTGGAGTACTCAGAGAAAACCCATGCACACACAGTAAGAACAGGCAAACTTCACATGGAGGCCCTGGCTAAATTTTCTTATCAATGTTACAACACAATATGGAATGAAAAGGTGCCAGAAGACCCACTATACTTTCAAAAATGAAGATTTTGGCCAGGTGCAATGGCTCATGCCTGTAATCCTGACATTCCAAGAGGCCAAGGAGGGAGGGTCCCTTAAGCTCAGGGGTTTGAGACCAGCCCGAGCAAGAGCAAAACCCCATTTCTACTAAAAATAGAAAAAAATTAGCCAGGTGTCACAGTCTCAGCTACTTGGGAGAAGGCAGGTGGACTGCCTGAATCAGGAGTCAGAGGTTGCTATGAGCTAGTCTGACACCATGGCACTCTAGCCTGGACAACAGAGACCATTTTAAAAAGGCAAAAAATTGAAGATTTTAAGAATACAGATTTGGGAGGCGCCTGTGGCTCAATGAGTAAGGCACCAGCCCCATATACCGGAGGTGGTGGGTTCAAATCCAGCCCTGGCCAAAAACTGCCAAAAAAAAAAAAAAATAGATTATAGAACATATCCTTCTCCTGCTGCAGCTGATAACACTATCCTGATTCTTGTCCCAATTTAGCACCAAGACAGCTATTTTCTGGGGTGATGTAAATGGTTGTCATCATGCTCTTTGTCATTAATTCAGAGATTTCAGTCTTTACAAGTGTTCTATATTCTCATGAGTTTGATTTCTTCTGACGTTATCAACACTAACAGTTTTGAGTTTTATTAAATAACAATTCCAATAGTGTTGCTTATCTCCTTCCTAGTATCTACTTCAGCAATAAATCAGGTGAATATGTTATAGGTCCCATTTATAAACTAGGAAATGGTGAAGGTAATGGATATGAAAAGATTGATAACAAAGAATCGTATGATAATATGCATAACTTGAAACCCTGATGGCTTCATTCAGGAGCCAGGAACCCTCCCTCAAACAGATTCCATCCAGTAATAGGTTTCTATCCAATATAATTTTGCCATATCATTTAAAGAACAATCTTTGACAATTTTTTCTTTCATTTATTACATTCATGGGATTCCTTGCAGTATAAATTCATGAATGCTGAATGAGTTTCTGCATTACTGAAAGTAATCCTGCACTTCCTTTTTCAGAACTTTTTGAGTATGACGTCTTTGATGTCTACATAGGTTTGAATTCCTATTGAAAGATAGCTTACATTCCTTACATTTGAATGGTTTATCTCCTGTATGAATCATTTGATGTCGAATAAGGGAGGAGCTCCGGTTAAAGGACTTTCCACAGTCAACACATTCATAGAAATTATCTCCAGAATGGAGTCTTTTCTTACCATTGTCTTCGCTCTGCCTGAGGGCTATTTCACATTTACTGTCTTTAAGTGACTTTTCTTTAGTATGAATTTTTTGATGCTTAATAAGGTTTGTACATCGGTTGAAGAATTTCCCACATTCACTGCACTTATAGGGTTTCTCCCCCGTGTGAATTATCTGATGTCGAGTAAGGGATGACCTTCTGCTGAAGGCTTTTCCACACTGATAACATTCATAGGAATTCATCGTAGTATGACTTTTTTGGTGTCGAATAATATCTGTACTCAGGTTCAAGGCATTCCCACATTCATCATACTCTGAATGTGGCTTATCTACTGAATTAAATCCAAGGTTAGTTTCAAACTTATCACACTTTGGGGACCCCTTTCTTATAGGAATTCCTTGTTGTATGTCATAAATTGAGTTAACTGAGTTAACATCAAAGCTTTTCTTGTTCTCACTACATTCAAAGTCTCCTTCCTCAGTGTAGGTTGCTGTATTAATAAAAGCTTCTGGTGACAAATTTATATCCTGTTTTTTCTGGTTCCTATATGACCAATCTTCACTTTTCCAGACATCTAAGGGAAGATGTTCACTTTCAATAAGCCTTGTCGTAATCACTCCATGGGATGATTCTTCCCTAGAAACACTCTGCTCTGGAATTGAATCTTGGTTTTCTGGAATAGTCTTCATGTCTAAAAAGAAATAAAAAATACCATGAACTATAAAGGAAACTGCTAAATTAGAGGGGCTAAACCATGTAATAATATATGTAGACATCATATGAAGGTATATGTAGACATCAGAGGTCCCTTTTTTTGAGACACAGTCTCACTGTGTTGCCCTTGGCAAAGTGCTGTGGCATCACATCTCATAGCAACCTCTTACTCTTGGGCTTAAGTGATTCTCTTGCCTCTGCCTACCAAGTAGCTGGGACTACAGGTGCCTGCCACAACGTCCAGCCATTTCTTTGTTGCAGTTGTCATTGTTGTTTAGCAGGCCCGGGCTGGGTTCAAACCCGCCTGCCTTGGTATATGTGGCTGGTGCCCTAAACACTTAGCTACAGGTGCTGAGCCCACATCAGAGGTCTTAAATTCAAAGAATAAAAATGTTAGACAATGTTAAACAAAAGACTTAGAAATAAATGGCATAAAATGTTAAAAAGGGGGGTTAGGAAATCATAAAATAAAAGGAGAGCTATTCAGCAGTCCATTAAGCAGACTACAGGGCTCGGGAAAAATATCAGTACATGAACTAGGATGAGGCACTTTATCAGTCATAATTCAAGCTATTCCTGGCTCAATAACTAGTCTGTGAAAGTTCCACCCAGTCTTCCTTTCTCTAGAATTTTATATTTTATTTCTTTTAACCCAAGCTATTTACCATTAATAAGCCTTCCTATGATATACCAATTTCATCATAACTTTAAGAACATGTCTATATTCCTAGGTCCCACACCTAAAAGCAAACTTGAAATCACAGTGCCCCTATTTTCCATACAGCTCCATTTATGCCCTGTATGTCACAAAGGCAGAAAACACTGGAATGTAAAGGTAGAAGAGACACCATCCTTTTTCTGAGCTCAAAATAACTCTCGACTCTAACATCAGTGCCTTGATACCTTTCTAGCATGCATGCTAGAACTCCAACCTTTACCTGTTAGAAGGCTGGGCTCTTTTCTTCAGTCTTTGTTTCATAACATTCCATTTCCCTCCTCAAACTTCCTTTCTGTGTATAAATATGCTCAAAGTATTATATCCTCTAGCAGTTCTGACTTCTCTTTCTCTTCTTCCATGTAACTTCAGATATGTCTAAAGATTTTACCCATCCGTGCTCTTTTGGCTGGTAGTCAAATTATAACTTCAGTTTGTACTCACATACATCATTGTCCCTTATTTTCACCACTCTTCTGGATACCTCCCTGTGACTATCCTACTCTCTACCAACTAAATAAAGGAGACACTAAGATTATCATCATCCATGTTGAAGAGACTTCTTGTTCTCATGTTTGTGTAACTCATTTTCCATATAACTTCCTCATCCTATTTTTAAAATAACTTTCATGTACTTTGTCATTTTCAAGTCATTAGTTCTAATCTGTAGGAACTGATTGAACTGATTGAACTACTGATATACTGACCACCTGACAAATAGAAAGTTATCATTTGCAAATAATAGCTTTTCCTGTTCTTTAATAATTTCTCATTTCTCATTTATAGCTCATGTATTTTTCTTTCATTAGTTAAATCTTTTAGGCCAATGTTAAGTAACGGTGGTTAACAAGCCATTACACAAAACTCTTAGCAGGTATAACAGCTCTGATTTTAAGTGTCTTGGATTTTAGAAATAGAAATTATTTAAAAATGGTTTTAGCTCTTTTCTAATAATTAAATTTCTCATTTCTGTTTGATTTTTTTTCCCTCCCACTAGGTAAGTCTTTCAGGTCAATATGAAATGATTATGGCAACAGACATTCTTATCTGCTGATAGCACTGGTGATGCTATTGTTTCAGCTTTACACATGATGTTAACCCAGGGTTTGTTTTCGTTTGGCTCTAACCAAATATATTTCAAAGCATTGGCTTATCTCCTGACCACTATTTCCAAACTCATAAATTGCAAGTTATCTATTGAGACTCTTTTGCTGCCTATAATCTAAGTTAGAATGAACCCTTAAAACCTTAGTCTGTGTAGCTCTGAGGAGAGTCAGTGTTCCTCTTCATGCTTTTCTATACCTACTAAAATTTATATTAATCTCACAATAAATTTACATTCTCTCACAAAGCATTAACAAGAATAAAGAGATTATAATGAAGACAGAGAGTTAACTTACAGAAAGCTCTACAGAAAAAGAAAGGGAAGATTACTAGCAATAATTCTAGTATATAGCAGATTTGTTTTCTTTAAAGGAAAGAATAACATTCAGTGTGGGTGACTAATGTTTATTTAGCACTTACATTGTTCAAGGCACTAAGTATGTTACAAATACCAATTCATTTAATCTTCACAATAACCTAAAGGTATGTAATATTATTAAGTCTATTATGGATGAGAAAACTGGCAAAAAGGCTATCCCAGGGCGCACAGCTTTAGGTTAGATATCTATGGTCCTAACACATTATACTATTTTGTCACAATAGAAGAAGAACCTGTGAATAAAGACAGGTTCTTTATTCCCTCCCCCAACTCCAAAGTTTAGGTAGTTTTACCGTCACCTCTCCAACAATGAATTCAAAGATCACATTTCACACTGTGCATTTAACAAACTGAAGCTTCTTACAAATGCCTCACATCTTCCTGTTTCTTACCAAAAACAGCTGTTCTTGGGATTTCTTCCTCCATTATCCATCTTTTTATTTTATTCTCTAACTTGGGTATCTCAGCTGGTTTGGCAAGTAGATGCGCTATTCATGGAGAAAATAAAAATGACAACAAGAAACAAATATGACATTTTGGACATTTTTATAGGGAAGAGAATTCCATCCCAACCCAGTAGTCTAAGCTGCTGAAGGATAAGGCCAGCAAGATACCATGAAAGGTCTTTCAGCCAGATACAGCAGGTAAATCTATTGTCCAAAAGATACCAGGAAACCTGAACCCAGACCCGAAAGTGAACATAACCACTTCAGCAGTTCTGGAGCTTTAAATAATAGGAGACTATTAATGGACAGATTAAGTAAACACAGAAGCCACCTTTATGCAATGAATTCAGGTTCTTATAGTTCTCCAGCATCACATCCCTGTACATTTTCTTTACAGCAGGGTCTAGATGCCCCCACTCTTCTTCGCTGAACTCCACAATCACATCTTTGAATGTCACTGGTTCCTAAAACATTAAGTTTCTTTTTAATCAAAGTCACTCCCAAAAATATTACCAGAGGAGGAATGAATTTGAAAAGAATAGAGTAGGAGCTAGAATGTATAAGAAATTGACAGGACAATGTTTGGGGCCCTAAGTGATGAAAATCAAATTGTATCAAGGGCCAATCAACTAGGTACATTATGAGGACTACAAAACAAACAAAGCAAATTGTAGTCCTTAGATTAGTTTATACGCTGGGACGAAAGACACAGCTGAAGTAACTGTGGAACAGAAAGTTACTACAGAGTACAAAGAATTTACATAAAAGTTCAGAACAGAAAGAGCTTAGGATAGATTTAAGGGAAATTTGTAATGAAAACCCAGGCTCTGTTAAAAGGTAGAGCATTTTCGTTAATTGGGAAATGCAGCCTGCTCCTTATCATTCAGGACTCACAGTTCATTGTCACCCTGTCAGAGAGGCAAGACTAATTATCCAAAGAACCCTGCCTACCCAGTGTCTACTAGATTATGTTTCTTGCTTTTCTAATAATTACTACTATCTCAATTATCTTGCTTGCTTGTTTGTGCTTGTATACTTCTATTAGAATGTAATCTCCACAGGGCAGAGATTTTTGTTTTGTTTTCGAAAGATTAACAATGATTGGTAAAGTATCTAGCATATTAGGCACTACATAAATATATATATATTTTTTTGAGACAGAGCCTCAAGCCGTCCCCCTGGGTAGAGTGCTGTGGCATCACAGCTCACAGCAACCTCCAACTCCTAGGCTCAAGCGAGTCTCCTGCCTCTGCCTCCCAAGTAGCTGGGACCACAGGTGCCCACCACAATGCCCGGCTATTTTTTGGTTGCAGCCATCATTGTTGTTTGGTGGGCCCAGGCTGGATTTGAACCTGCCACCTTCGGTGCATGTGGCTGGTGCCTTAGCCACTTGAGCCACAGGCTCTGAGCCATAAGTATTTGTTAATAAATAAATTCCCTCCTGTCTCTATTCCACTCTTCTCTCCATCATCTTCAACCTTGTCTTTTTTGGCACTTTCAATCAAAGTGAGATATATAGGTCTCTTCCTTTTCTCTTCTTCAGAGGAAGTTTTTGTGCATTAGCTGTCTACATTAATTTTGTGTATTTCCATACCTCTCTCTTCTCATCTCACCACAACCTGGCTTCTATTCTTGTGCATGGTAGTACTTCTATGACAACAAGTAAACAGACACTACTTAGGTTGTATTATCTTCATCTTTTAAAGAATTTCTCTTTTAAAGATTGTCATCCTTTGGACATATTTCCCTGGTTTTCTCCTATTGTCTTTGGACCTTTCTTTTCAGTATCCTCTGAAGTTTTCTTCTACTCCTGCCTAATAAATGACACTGCTCAGGATTCTACCCATGGGCCCCTTCACTTTTAATTTTCAACAATCTGTGCGGCTCTATTTCTATAGCTTCAATTATTGTCTATATTCTTGAGGGAAGAGATACAGAAAGAGTATATGAGGCTAAGAGAAAAATACTTTCCAAAGAGGGTGTCATCAATTAAAATAGGTTCAACCCCCTGTGAGGGAATGCCTTTGGATGGAACTATGTTTGGCAAAAGTTCAAAGACCAAAAGCAAAAGCAAGTCATGCTAAAAAAGAGCATAGGGTTCAAGCGGAAAGTGGAATCCAACTCACCTGGAGTGAGTCGGCTCCCTGTTTCTCCTCCTGTACACTCCTGTTTTGGAGGACAGAGTCCTTGCAGAGTGCATCTAAGGAAGATGAAGGAAAACATTACGGGATTCAAGTTTTGCCCTAGAGCAACTTAAACATTATAATTGTGTTCTCTGAAACTCTCATTCCACTCAAAGAAAAATCTACATACAGTCTCAAGTTCTTTATAGAATATTCCTTCTCTCTACTTATCTAATTTGAATTCAGGTCAGGAAAGCCACTTCTTGTCACCCTCCAAGTACTATTATCTTGGAAGTTGTCTGATATACTTGTACCTCCCTATTCCTACTTCCTCATAATTTCTCTTGTTCAAAAAAAAAAAAGACTTTTAGAGGTTCATACCATTTAGCATACCATCCTGATGCAACATTAAGCTACTGCCTGTTCATTTTTCAACACATATTTACAGAGTAGCTCCTCTTTATGAGGTATACAGATACCTCCCCTTAGAGAGCCTAGACTATAGTGAATGACTAACACAAAAATAAGTATTTGTATAAGCCAATAAAAGCTTTAGTTACTTGGCCCACATGCTTTCCGTCTCAAATCCTCCCAGTATTATTATAGGTAACTACAACACTGGCACAGGCAACTCTTCCAACAACCCAGATTAATAGACTTTGTACATTCATGTTTTTAATAATCATCAGCCATCTATTTTCTTCTTTATACTCCGGTCTTTATTACTGAAGAATTATTCTAACATAAGAATAAACTTGAATAAGTCAATCTCCAAATACATCTTCCTATCCTTTCCATTTTCACTTCCTTGTTCTTTGCATATGTTCCGCCTTTTACCAGGTTCCATCACAGTATCTTGATGCTTTAATTTTCTCCCAGTCTATCACCCTTCTTGTGAAGTCACTTCATCCTACATGCAGCCTAGATTTTAAATTAAAAAAAAAAGGACAGTGCCTGTGGTTCAAAGGAATAGGGCGCTGGCCCCATATGCCCCAGGTGGTGGATTCAAACCCAGCCCCGGCCAAAAACTGCAAAAAAAAAAAAAAGAACATTCACATAACATAAAATTTGCCATATTAACCATTTTAAAGTATACAATTCAGTGGCTTTTAATACATTCATGGTGTTGTGCAACTATCACCACTATCTAGTACCAGCACATTTTCATTACCCTCAAAAGAACCCCATGTACAGTTAGGAGTCATTCCTCATTCTCCCTTTCCCCATACTGGGTCTATAAATTTGCCTATTCTGGATAGTCCATATAAATTTTATCATATAATATGTGCTTGACAGCTCTTAGCATGTTTTAGAGGCCCACTTATGTTATAGCGTGTACCAGCACTTTGTTCTTTTGGTGGCTGAATATATCCTACTGCATGTATACACCACAATTTATCATCAATTATATACCTTTGTGTCGCTTCTACTTTTTATAATATTGCTGGGAACATTTATGTACAAGTCTTTATGTGAATATGTGTCTTCAATTCTCTTGGGGATATGATAAGTCCACATTTAGCTTTTTGAAGAACCACCAAACTATTTTCCATAGTGGAATTTCTCTATATCCCAGTTAACACTCATTCCTTTTTTACTTTATTATTTTTATTATTATTATTATTTTTGAGACAGAATCTTACTCTGTTGCCCTTGGTAGAGTGCCATGGCATTCCTTTTAATTTTTTTGTAATTTTTATACGCAAGTGGATGTCAAATGGTATCTCATTGTAGTGTTGATCTGCAATTCCCCTGGGACTAATGATACAGAACATTTATTCTTATGTTTGTTGAAAACTTGTATATCTTTAGAGAAATGTCCATTTGAGTCCTTTGCCCATTTAAAAAACTGTGCTGCTTTATCCTCATTTTGTGTTGCAAGAGTTCTTTATATTTTCCTGATACTAGACCCAAATCAGATGATTTTCAAAATATCTTCTTACTGTAGATTTGTCATTTTCAACAATCTGTGTGGCTCTATTTCTATAGCTTCAATTATTGTCTATATTCTTTAG